CTGGATCCTACATCTCTTCGTAAATAACTTGATTGCCATGAAAATTGTTCTAAGGAACATCAAAAACAATAGTATAAAAACAATTAGTGCATATACACAAACACATACATGAAAAACATAGACACTCAAATGCATACACATTCAAAGAAGCACACACAAATATATGCCCCCCACACATATATACATACATTAATACATAAATCTATGCATGGCAAAACACATAAAAGTGCACACACACATACAAAAGCTCAAATACATGGAAGAATACATAGACATATAAACACATATAGACACACGCACACAGGCACTAGCATGAATACACACAAAAAAACACAAACACGCACACATACACACAGCATACAAACACATGTACAGACACAAACATGACATGCATGTGCACACATATACACACTGGCACACATATAGACAAGCACACATACACATATGCACAACAAAAAGGAAGCCTCTTCTTCCATTCTGCTTCTAATTTCTCTCTAAAACTAATGTTAATCTTAACCCAAACACAATCTAAACACAAAAAACCACACACATACAAACATGCACACACTCACGTGCATAAATATACAAGCACATGTGCATGTGCACATGCACATACATGGCTATAGATATATCAAGAAAAGATGCTATACTTCTGATTTCCTTAATTATTCACAAGGTGATAGATCGGAGCCATCAGAGGAGAGAAACCACGTTATTATGTACACACTGAGAGTTTAATAGAAAAAGTCATTATGTATAACAAGGAATTGGAGTAATGACAGATTGGTTAGCAAAAATAAAGACAGCTCTAAAGGCACTTCAAAAAGTTCATGGAAAGATTCATATTATCTTTTAATTCTGTTTTTCCATTAACTTTTAGAAGTACCTTTGTATAGGAATAGCAAATATTAGGAGAAGCCACTCTCCTTAAGGCTGAGATAGCACGTCCAAGTAAGACATCCCCACCCCAGACTGAGAATAAGATCTTGTAGAGGGCATGGCTGTGATTCACAGAATGATAGAGTAGTTGCTGTGGTGCTTCACCAGCAGGGCTTCTGGAAAATCTTCCCTCCAGAGGTGAGGTGTATTTGGGAAAGCTCAGGAGGTAACTTGTGGAAGGTACTCTACGTCAAAGTTTCTCAAGAATGGTGGTGTTGGGGAAGCTTGCTGGCCACTGGGTGCTGCTGGCTACCAAGCACTGCATGCATCCTGGGAGCTAGAGAAGCTGCATGTACCACAGGAGCCTGGTGCTGGAGAAAATGCACATGCTATAGAGACTCCTGGGTGCTGCTGGCTACCAAGCACTGCATGCATCCTGGGAGCTAGAGAAGCTGCATGTACCGCAGGAGCCTGGTGCTGGAGAAAATGCACATGCTATAGAGACTTATCTGTCCTTTAGCAGCCAGAGCTGTGTGCTCTCCAACAAGGTACAGATTTCAGACCTGGAAATACCTCTTTCTTGAGTGCTGTATCTTGGCCCTATAGTCAGTAGCTATTCCTTCTATATGACATTCTTTTATTCTTCAGAGTTGTAGCTACTTCTTACTAGCCAATCCCTTGTGATTCCAGTCCTCTGTTAAAGTTAATTTTTCTTTATATTAAATATTCCCTGTTCAAATTATTGTGCAATAGTGACTCACTGACCTCTCTGCCTCTTCTATTCCCCCTCCAGTCTATATACAACACAGAGACCAAAGTGATCCTTCTAACATATAGGCCAGATCATGCCCCTCTTTATTCCAATACTTTGTATGCACCAGCCCACCATTTCCCTTATAGAAACACCAAATTCCTTCAACTGGTCTGCAGTGCTTTGCATGACCTGACCCCCTTATCTCTTTGACCTCAATGATTTCTACTTACTCTTTTCATAGTTATACTCCATCCTCATAGTTTCTGCAATCCTCCCCGGGGGCATTAGTCTGACTATTTCATCTACATGGAACATTTTCCCTTATATCCAAATCACTCCGCCTCACCCAACTCAATATTTGCTGTGTCATTCTCTCTGTGAAACCAACCCTAGCCACTATTTTTCATATTGCAATATACTCTACTGCACATGCTCATCATTACCTGAATTTTCTATTCTCTACATTTGGGTGATATAACTTTATACCACTATTTGTATCTGTCATTTTCTGTTCCCATCAATCAAAATGTGAGCAATACATTTCTCATGTGAACACCCATCCAGAATAGCCTCTCAGCCTGACTAGGTGTTAGATAAGTATTTATTCAGCAATGAAACAACAGGGCACTATTTCCTTCTACTAATACTCATACACCTTGGCAAAATTCTCTAACTTTCCTCTACTCTTTCTTACACTTCAAGTCAGTTTTTGTTCAGTGTTCTCAGAAATAAAAACATACTTTAGAAAACAAGATTTTCATTGTAGCCAAGATGTAGCATAGCCATGGACTCAACTTGATTCCCTCAAGTCTTAGAACTCAGTGACCTCTACTTTCCTTCTATTGAGACATCCAATCTTAGATTTCACTGATAATTTTATTTCCTATTTCTGTCACTCTCTTTGTATAACTATTAATTAACGGTAGTAGCTGTTAAGTAAGTTTCTCACTTCACAATGTTTTTCAGATATAATCTCCAGTTCACCTACAGACCTGCTCCCCCCACTTACAGGTGAAGAGATAATCACTTCCCAGAAAAAGATGAGATCATAGAATCCCAAACTTTTATTTTTGGATTTGGAATCCCCATCTCCACAAATTCACAGACACACAGATGGAAACACAATTTGGTAGCTGGCTATTTTTTCTCATTAAACATTGGAAACTTTGAAGAAATAGAATGTATTCCAGGGAACCCAGTAACTTATATGGAAAAACTAGTTCTTGCTTGGATTGAAACAAGAACTCTCATAATTAAAAGAAGCAGAAAGTTTGCTAAGGGATCTAGAGACACACTGTCCATGCTTGACTACCTGCTTCAGGGCTGCATCTCTTCCCCCTTCCCTGCTATAACCCGGTCTGATATCTTAAACCTCTTGCCCTGGAATAAGAAATCATACACACCCTCAATACATTTAGGCTAAGGGATTTAATCTCAATAGAAATGAAGAGCAATGAGCTCTCACCCTCAGAGTGAACGCTTGGCCTCTGGGTGGTAATTATAGGTGTATGCAGTAGATTGCTGTCATTGTTTTAAAATCACTGAAAGCCTGTGTGGTTAAAGAGGTCTACAATTACATTTCTCTAAAATGTATGATTGGTGTTAGAATGTAAGCTTTCATCTCCCATGTGAATAAATAAAAGACTCATTTAAGGGTAAAGTGACTAAAGATTCCAGGTTTAAGGGAACAGAGACCATCAGAGACTTCAATATTCTCAAATTCTCAATGTTACCCTGACATAGAACCAGATTTCAAACTTACTGTGATATTGTAACTATCCTAAAAATCTGTAACTCTTTCTACCCAAAACAACCTCACTGTCCCCTCTGATCAATATGAATTTCTAGCATGATCACTTCTCACACATGTAGCATTAACATGATGATTTATGCTAATAAAATTTGTATTGATGGACATATCAGTATCCCTGTCTCTGAGAGCACAGCGCACATAATTTAGCCCCTAAAGTTGCCTCCATGAAAAC